AAAAAAAAAAAAGAAATAGATGCAGTTCATATCACCTAGCATGGAATGTTTTCTTATGGCATAAGACATTATAAAAGGTAGCTCCTATTCATACTGACTAAAGTTGCCTACCAAAGTTAATTAACTTGGCTGTTTCATTGATTTTTAAATAAAAGATAATATCAAGTCTTGGGAATATGATTTTAGAAAAAAGATTTAACTTTTCTTAGCACAAAGGCTTGCATGAGGTCACAGAAGCCACAAAAACAGGCTCTGCCTGAAAATGGGTTTAAAAATAAATCAGATAACTTGAAAGACCCTTTGGGGAAGGTATGTGTAAATTCTCTACTGCTGCATCCAAGTTATGAGTCTCTTAGGGCTACAATATGCTTCATTTGATCAGCCACAGTCTGAGAGCACAGAACTAGAATGGAGTAGAGTGGACAAAAAGAAATAATTATCCATGCATATATTTATACCACAGTTCCTTTGCAGAGGGAATAGCACCCTTTTTTATGTGTGTGTTCCACACTTAACCTTCCTTTGGCCTTGGAATTATCTGGCTTGTTTTCCTCTGTAGGAAAGTTCTGAAATATCAAACACAGCTGTAGACAAAGGAAGAGGTTGGTCAAAAAGCCCACCCAGAGATTCCATAATAAATAGAAATGAAAGTAACTTACATAGAATCAACTAAAGTTTGCTTTGGTACTATAGAATCCCAAGAGTCATTTGAATGGAGAATCAGAAGGAAACAATGAGATAAAACAAGAAAGCAAACTGGTTGAAGCGCGCTCTTTGGAGTCAAATGAGGAAGCCAAGCATCATAAATTTCCTAGTGGCTGGGCAGAAGGTAAGAGATTGAGGAACACTGCTAAAAAAATGTTGCAGGGATTTTCATTTCCAAAAAACTCATGCACCTGTTGATATATTTTCCAGGCCCTTGGATGATAGCAATTTATAAGGCTATTAGTACTAAGCCCAAGATTTATCAGTTGTTCTGTTTGTCTTATGGCCAATATAACCTCATAAAATTTGAGTTGCACTGGGTTAAAATGCAGCGTTCTGCTATTGGAGTTATTCGGAGCATTTAAATCGGTTAATCCTACAAGAATGGTGCACTTAGCCTGCCTATTAGAGAGAGTCTTTAGGGATTCCTACCAGTTGCAGAGCCAGGCTGGAGGGGGCAGTCCATTGCTGGGTGAGGTAAAACGGAGGCAGCAGGGGAAGAATGAGTCCTGGAGACAAGACGGTGTTTGTCTAGTCCATCCATGCCAACCGCAGCCAGCGGCGCTTGGCGCACAGAGAGTGCTTGTGTGCGCGGGGGCTCCAGGAAGGGCTGTTGCCAAGAAAAGAGCACAGTAGAAAGAAATGTGAGTCAAGGATTGAGGGAGACACTGAGAGCGACATGTCAGCAAATTAAGTTCATCAGGTCAGAGACATAATAAACGGTATGAAGGAAAAAGAAAAAAAATAGAGAAAGGGAGAGAAAAAACAAGATTCAGTCAATAAATCCATTCAACAGATGTTTTCACACTGACGGCCAGGGCCTGTCTGCCTGGCTAAGGAGCAGGTGATGGCAGGAGGCCTGTCAGTTTGAACTGATTGAAAGAAACAGACCTTTAACCTCTACAGTAACGTTGACAGAGACTCATTTCCTACCTAGATACCAATGTTTTGAATATAGCCCCAGAACTGCCACACAACATGGGAGAACAATTCAACTGCTTTCAAACTGCCAGTGAGACCTAATTCTGAAAATTCTCTCCTGAATTTATTTCAGTGAATATTGTTCATGAATTCTGTGGATGCCTCTACAAATGACCAATTACACAATTATACTTTGACGCCTGTCAGTCCTCATACAGTCTTCATATATTGATATAGAAAAAAATGAGTATTTCATAGTTTTTATGATATAATTTCAACACTATAAAATTATTTTTAAATATATTATTAAATATATCCTCAGTAATTTAACACTGTTATTATTCTTCATCCTTCTAAGTTACTGAATCAGTGAACCATAGTTTGGAAGTTTATGGAAGATTCACTTAGTCTCTTTCTCTGTCTCCATAAAAAGATACTCTCAAACAAATATAAGCAGCTTAGTTAATCATCAATGCTACACAGAGAGCTTTGCCCAAAAAAAAAAGTATATGTTTCAAAATATATATTTAAAATATATATTTTAAAAATGTATTTATTAATATTTATTAATAAAAATATTTATCAAAAATTTATATTCTACACTGTGAATATGTTCTCGCTCTTCAACATGAGGGAATTAATAATCTTTATACTGTTTATATTTATCTTTCCTAATGAATATGGAGAATAGCTGAACAGCAGTATAAAACATGATAATCTCTTGCCATAGATAAAGAAACTGTTGCTCCAAAGGTTACCAAAGTAAACAAGGCTAATCCCCTATAGTTTTAGAAATGTGTGTGCTCTTCTGCTTCTGCTTCCTGCCTGACTAGCATTTGCTCTTTCAAGACTTGATGCAGACATTACTTCTATTTAGTGGGGGCCTAGATGCAGACATTACTTCCTGCTAGACTAGGTGTTCCCCTTCCACCCAACATGTGCCATCACATGTCATACTCATCCCATATTTCCAGCCCAAGGCCTGGTACATTCTATGTGTACAAATTACTCACCTACTGAGAAAGCTAACAAATCTGTATACAACACAGCTGTACTCATTGCATATTATGTAGTTTTATGTAATTGTAGCTGTCTCTATATATGATAGGCCTTAATGCTGCATATAAATCTATGAATTGGGATTATAAATGTATATTTAATTATAGACCATAGGCAGATATTTCTGAATTTAGAAAAAAGTAAGAATGACTTAACTTTGAGATAGGTTATAAATCACGTATATTGTTGTTACTTTTGTTTTGCTCTACAGAATAATCAAACCATCAATCAATTGGAAGGTATATGTCACATATTTAGGCTTTCGCCATTTGATTCGATGATTGGAATGGATTGGTCAGGGATCTAGCTCTAGCTACAATGGTTTATACACTTTTACAAAACTCTAACTCTCTTGTTTTGTTTTGTTGAGTGTCTTATGTTCAGTGCCCTGAGTACACAGCAGTAAGATTAACATGGTCCTTTTTCATATGGAACTTACTGTTACAGGGAATACAAATATATAATTATGGGTGGGAGGGATCTGTCGGGAAAAGGAACTTTTCAACACATGATCTCAAATTCCTGGGTACATGTTTATCTGATTTTTGGTAATATCCATCTCTTCTCTTTCTACTGTAATTTCTTCAACTCCCATTTAAGACATTGCAAAAGGCTCCTCTCTGATCACCCCACTTCTAATACCAACCAGTCCGATTCCTTCCTGGAAAAATTCTCTCCCTAAAGCCCTGTGGTAAACAAGACATTAACACAAAAAGGCTCTGAAGGTCAACCCAAATTGAAGAACCTCCCCAGCCTGTCATTTGTACTCTCCTTGACCTGAGGCTAACCAACATGTTCAGCCTTAGATCACTTATTCCTTTTCTAAGTTCTAGCCAAAACACTGTCTACTGAACAGCAGATATCATTCCCAAGGCTGCAGTATGACTTTCATGGACCCTGTGCACTTTTATCTTTATTGACTCCAAAAAATTGTATTAAAACTTACATTTTAAGCCTACATTGGCATACATTGGATTCATTATTATATAGCCATATTATTAGATTCATTTTTTCTTATTAAGAAATTTAAATTTGAAACATTTTGTGGGCCCCTAAGAGTATCTCATAGGCTCTGGGCACTGTGTCTGCTGTCTCTAATGGATATGTTGACCGTGATCATTCATGCTACTTACAAGCCATCCTTTCTACATCACCCCTACATTGTGGCTATGAAGCTCCACATTCAGCACTACACACATCCTCTAAGGTCCACTTAAAATTTCACAGTCCTTTTTGAATACTCACATTAACTGTTTTCCCCTTCTGTTACATTCCCATCACATTTTGTTTTTCTCTCTCCTTTCCCTGCCACAGTCTTTTATATATTAGAGTTATTGCATGCAGTAACTATTTCTTGAGCCCACACTCCATGCAGGACACTTTGTTAGTGTGCAGAACATTTTTTATGCTTATTCTCTAGTGAGGAGACAGATACTAAATAAGTCATGTATCCCATAGCAATCCTTTGGTCAAGGATAGGCCGTACATATGACAGTGGGCCCATAAGATTATAATGGAGCATAAAAATCCCTATCACCTACTGATGTAATAGCCCACCTAATGTCATAGCACAATTACTTTATTTTTAACAATTTAGTGTAGCCTAAATGTACAGTGTTTATTAAGTCTACAGTACAATGCAGCAGTGTCCTAAACCTTCATGTTCACTCACCAGTCACTCACTGACTCACCCAGACCAACTTCTAATTGTGCAAGCTCCATTCATTGTAAGTGCTCTATCCAGATATACTGTGTTTTACCTTTTATAATAAACTGTATTTTTATTGTACGTTTTCTATGTTTAGATACACAAATTGCCTACAGTATTCAGTATAGTAATATGCTGTACAGGTTTGTAGCCTAAGAAAAGTAGGCCATAATATATGGGCTTAGGTGCATGGTAGGCTATACCATCTAGGTTTGTTAAGTATACTTTATGATGTTCATACAACAGTGTAATTATAAATACAATGAGTGCTGTATAGGAAAAATTCAGGATGCTATGAAAAACCAAAAAAACCTGATGAAGAGGTTCAGGGAAATTTTGTCTAAGAAAGTGATTTGAATGTGAAAGACAAATCGGAATTAACCAAGTGAGGAATGAAAGGAGAAGCTCTAAATACATTGTGAGTGTGTGTGCTGACACGTGTGCGTGTGTAAAATGACCTTTCCTTGAATAATGTTGAAAGCTCATTGAATCAGAAACTAGATATAACTCATCTTTTAACTTATTTTCTGCTGCGTTTTATATATTTTCTCATACCTTTTAGAAGCTATGTCATTGTATTTGTGCATTAAGAAAGTGCAATAGATATTTGGAAATTAAAGGCCATTTTAAAAAAAAATCACATGGCCATGTTTTAGATGACTGGGGTTACTAAATATTTTATCTCTTAATGAGTAGCTTGATGCTGTAAGGACTCCATTTAAATAACACCACCTATTACCCTTCTTTTTTTTTTATTAGTAAATATTTATTGCTTTACTTGAGCTTCACTGCAACACTGTAAGATAATGGAATAACAGTTTGCTAACTCAAAAGCATTATATAAATGTTACATCATTGTATAAAACTTCACAATTCAGCAAGCAGAATCCAACCTGTCCAATGTCTACCAGAAGGAATATGGCAATATAGAATAGAAACAAATAACTATTTGTTCAATATTAATTTATTTATTACTGATAAATATTCATCCAATATCTATTGCTCAAGCAAAAGGCAACAGTCCTTGTGCTATGTTGTACAGACAGCAAAGTAGATTAAGGATGTTGTGGGTTGACACCCAAAATTTAGGTACTTATACCTTAGCTGCAGTTAGTAAGTTCCATGAAGAGATGACATTTGGCTGTTGTATATTCCCATGCCTATCTTTCCCATGCAGTGTTTCACACATAGTAGTCTTTAATAATATATATTTTCAGTTAAAAGTGAATGCATAATAAGGAGAGAGAGACATCTATATAATCATCCTTAAGATCTTATAATAAGGATAGGATAAAACAAAAAACACAAGCAATCACAGCACAAAGTAATCAAGAAGTAGCTGAGAAGAAAATGAGAATTAGAGTCTAGATAAAATGATTACCAAAGGACAAAATCCTAAAATTATTTTGTTTTAGAGCCAAGAGATAATGCAGGGAAAGTTCCAGTGATTTGAGGATTATTTTTCCTTTCTACTTTTATGTCGTTTCCAAGTTTTCTGCATATCACCTATATTAAAACTAATTTTAAAAAATAGTAAATGTTATTTAAACTAAATAGTCAAATTATTCAAACACTATATTAGGACAGATTCATAACTACTGGAACTATGAACAGAGATGGGCCAAACATTTTTGGACATTTTTTCAAAATAGCACTATAGAATAGAGATTTTTATTCACTTTCAAAGAGTTGATTGCAATTAAACACTTTTACAAATGAAATATGGCTTTTAATGTTTAAGGAAAGTCATAACAATGCAGTAAACCACATATTATTATAGTACGTATTAGTCACTGAATTATCATTAAATTCCAGGTCACTTTTATTTTAGGATAGATATCCAGACTTATTATCAAAAGCATCCTTCTTGAGATTGAAAGCAGAGATTACATTTTTCTTTTGTCTCTGGAATGGATTAAAGT